AAAATGTAAGAGGCTTAAATACTAAATTAACGAACTTATACCTTAAAGGCCTTGAATGTAATTATAATATTCTTTCTTTCACTGAAACTTGGCTGAAACCTCACATTTTCAGTTCAGGGATGCTTCCCAATGATTATCATATCTAATAGACAAGATAGGGAGGACAGAATCGGCGGTGGCGTACTCTTCGCTGTAGACTCTTCAATACCATCTGAAGAAGTTAGTCTTCCACACATTGATTCAGTAGAATTCAAATGCATTCGTGTACAGGTTGGAAAAGGGTATATTTACTTAGCTCTATGCTATATCCCTCCCCGATCTGACACATCGGTGTATTCACGACTCATCTCTTTACTGAAATAAGTTAATTTACTGACTAAACCCTCTGATTCAATGATTGTGTTGGGTGATTTTAATTTACCAAGCATATCATGGAACATCATTGACAATGATATCGTACCTTTCGCGTCTAGTGCGTGCAACAACGTATTTTTAGAGGAGATGGCTGAACTCTGCCTAACTCAGGTTAATGTACTTCACAATAAGTTTGGTAAAGTATTAGATCTTGTTTATGTTGATGATGCATCTAAGTCCGTTGTAAATAAGTGTGATCCACTAGTTTTGCCCGAAGATGTCTACCACCCTGCTATGGAGGTATCTTACGAAGTTATAAGTGATGGTCAAAATTGCAGTACCCAAGCATACGAACCAAATATTCGCTTTGATTTTTCGAAAGCCAACTTTAAAATGCTTAACAAAGAACTGTCTAAATTGTCGTGGCCTGCATTTAAAGAAAATATTGAACAAAGCGTTGCACTTTTTAACTTTACTTTACATAAATTATTTGAAAAGCATGTGCCTAAACGCGTATATGTTCCTGAAGAACAAACACAGTAATGGTTCACTAAAGAACTGAAAAATTTTAAAAACAGAAAGTCGCGTTATTTTAGATTACACAAAAAAACCGGTTTACACTCATACTATGTAAAATACTCACTTTTGCGTCATAAGTTTTTTGAATTAAACAAAAAGTGTTATAAAGCTTACTTGTGTAAAATCAAACGGCGTATAATATATAACCCCAAATCATTTTATGACTTCGTAAACTCCAAGCGAAATGTACGTGGGTTTCCTTCCGCCATGAAGTATCAAAATACCGTCTCTAGTGATAATCAAACAATTTCTAACATGTTCGCTCAGTTTTTTAAATCCAATTACTCCATTAACTCACATGCTAACATTGACCATCCTTTTAAACTTTGTCCAATGAACTCAATATATATCCCTAATATCTCCCGATGATGTAGTAGTTTATCTGAAATCTTTAAAGCAGTCCTTCAGTTATGGTCCTGACCAGATCCCTACTTGTATTCTTATAAATTGTTCTGATTATCTCTATGAGCCGTTAACAGCGTTATTTAATTTATCTCTTAAAGAGGGCGTTTTTCCAACTATATGGAAGGAATCGTTCATAACCCCGTTACATAAAAGCGGTAGCAGATCTTCAGTGGAGAACTACCGGGGAATAGCTAAGCTTTCTGCAATTCCTAAATTATTTGAAGCAATTATAACAAATCAGTTGACGCATTCTATCTCTTCTAGCATTTCATATAGTCAACATGGATTTTGCTAGGGCAAATCAACTTCTACAATAGAGTGGTCCAAAATAATAAAGTCGGAATTTCAATGCCGCCACCCTCTAGGATTGTTCTGAACCGAAAATAAATAAACCCCTATTTTTTTATTTTGAAATCAAAAAATAATTAGGGAGTGCTCACAGCGCTCAAAGTGTTCCATGCCTTTTATATGGGGAAAAAACAAATTTTCGTAATNATATCACTAAAACCCTGTTTACAACATTAGTTAGACAAATTCTGGAATACGGTTCGGTGGTTTGGAATCCAAGGTATCAAAATTACTCAGACAAGAGAGAATCAATTCAAAAACAATTCATACTTTTTTCTTTAAGAAATTTGCGTTGGGATTTACAATATAAGCTTCCGCCTTATACGAGCCGATTAAAACTTNGAATTAACATCCTATATCCCAAAAGCATTTAGTGAAAGCAAAACTGTTGATGTTATATATACTGACTTCAGTAAAGCATTTGACAAAGTTTGCCACTCGTTTCTCATCTATAAACTTGATCTTCTCTTCCACCTAATTTTCTACGTTCGATCCCTTCATACTCTATGATAGATCACAAAGGGTAATGTTTAAAAATACTATCTCTGACGTCATTGATGTTACTACAGGATTTCCTCAAGGTAGCCACCTAGGCGCGGTTCTGTTCTTGCTTTTTATAAACGATATTTCTACAGATATACAATTTTCCAAAATTTTAATGTATGCAGATGATGTAAAGCTTTATAAATCGTACGTTTCAATTAAATAAAGGTCTTTGCTACAATCAGACTTAAACAGCATGGCTTACTGGTGTAAAGTAAATCTTATGCCTCTAAGTCTTAAGAAGTGTAAAGTAATGTGCTTCTCGCGAAGAGCTGTTCATCCCTCTTCTTATACAATAGGTAACCATAACCTGGAACAGGTATACAATTTTGTGGTATCACAATGGATCCTAAGCTTAACTTTAATCTTCACATTAATGTGACAGTCAACAAGGCTAGAGGTGTATTTGCATTTGTGAAACGATGGTCAAAAGAATTTTGTGTCCCTTATATCACTAAAACCCTGTTTACAACATTAGTTAGACAAATTCTGGAATACGGTTCGGTGGTTTGGAATCCAAGGTATCAAAATTACTCAGACAAGAGAGAATCAATTCAAAAACAATTCATACTTTTTTCTTTAAGAAATTTGCGTTGGGATTTACAATATAAGCTTCCGCCTTATACGAGCCGATTAAAACTTATCAATCTTCCTACACTTGCCAGTTGCAGGCAAATGCTTAGTACAATTTTTATAGTTAAATTACTAACAGGCTCAATTTCAAGTCCGCTTCTTCTGGGTGAAGTTAGCCCTAATGTTCCCTCCGTATCAAGACACTTTTGTCCCCTATTTATGAAAGCTTGTAAAACTAATTTTGAATTGCATGACCCACTCCGTTGCTTATGCCAGGATTTTAACTCTCATTCCAGCACGTTTGATATATCAGATCCGCTTTTCAGCATTAAAAAAGCGATACTATCCTCTCTCAACAAATGAATCATTAACATAAAGACAT